CCTTTATGAATACCAAGATATCATGCATCAGGATAATAATGAAAATAAAATCTGTTAGATTTATATCCTGACATTTACACATACACACCTTACCCTATCCCCTTATAATCCAAGGCAGATTGCATAATGCTGTCTCCTCCCCGTCCTCCTCCCCTCCCCTGTGGTAAACCTGTGGAGTAGTTAATACTGGGAGAGAATGACTATGGTAAGTTCAATTTATCCAGTGAGCTCCAGTAAGCAAATTTCCCTGAAAATCAGAAAAAAATTCCATTGGCACCCATCCCCCCAAAAAATCCTTTCTCTAATTGTTAGCATCTTAATTTGTATGCATAGCTTCTGCTTCCCAAATCTGGATCTTAAGACAGTCATATCTGTACAAGCACATATTAGTATTTTATCCCAATAATTCTGCATATAGATTTGCCATTGTAACTCTGTTTAAGAAATTTAAAACTGAGATTTATGTTGCTTTATAGATGTTCAAGAGCATTATTCCCTTGATTTGATTGCATCAGTGAATAAATAATTGTTTGCTTTAGGATAATAAGTAATAATCAAATATACTTATGGTTAGTATATTGATTAAAACCACATTTTGATGATGCATTAAAATGGACAACAGGTTTTGTTTGTTATTTGGATTGTTTTTGAATCTACCAAAGTTTCTTATGTTTAGTTATGTAACATTTTGATGGTGCTTTTCTTCTTTTTTTTCTTTTTTAGTTTGCTCTCAGATACTATAAGGGGTCTGGTGGGGTTGTAATAATGAACTAGAAGAGACAAGACTATTTTTTTCAATAAGTTATTTTTTACTAAAATAGTTATGCTTGGAAGTTAGTTTCTTTCACACCCAAAAAATAACTAACCACAAAGCATTTACTTTTGGCAGCATCTTAGTAGCAACTCTCAGATTTTGACTTTCAGGAGGCATACTATCACTTAAACTGTAATTTTCAGATAGTGTATTTTAATAAATAAATGTTTAACAGAGTATTTTGGTATAGTTTGAGTTGATAGTTCAGGCCTGATAGAAGACTCAAAATTGAATTTCAAAATTTATTTAATCATTGTAATACTTACATTTGTTAATTCCTTTTAATGTTTTATGTACATTGAAGAAATATCTAAATTTTATCATTCTTCATAATTTTAGATAATAACAATAATTATTAGTAATATTATTAACAAATTAATTCATTAAAATACAAATGTGTCCGCTTACTTGTCTACATGGAAAGTCATAGAGAAACTCTAAAAAGATGTCAAATAGAGTTAATTTAATTGCATTAATATATATGATCCTCTAAAAGATGCAATCTAATTTCTTTTAGAGACCTACATTCATATTAGTCATGCAAAGCACAGTGATCTCAGAAAGATTATTTACAAAGGGGCTGTTCAAAGTAGCACCAGGCACAAAGGAAACATTGAAATGTAACAGTCCTGTTGTAAACCTTAATGTAAAGGAGAAAAAGGCAGTAAATGTTAATGAGATGCTGCTAGTTCAGAATACGTGTGTGTAGGATTATTATTGCAACGAAAAGTAGTGATTGTAATATACTATGTAATAGTTTCAATCCTATTTTCAGAATACTTTTAAAAGTTATTGACAATATATGCACAAACAATATTTTATTTCAGAGAAATCTTCCAAAGTTTTTGCAAATACTCCTGCTCCAGTTTTTTTTTCTTTTTGAGGGAGGGAGGAGTGAAATGTATGGCTGTGCATTTTAAGTATTTTTCTTTATAACATCAAAACTTGCATCAGGGGAATAACATTGTATGTCAGTTGTCTCCTTCATATCAAAAGAAATCCTTTTCTTCTTTACAGATATAGAGGACAAAGCCAACTTGGAAAAAACATTAATTATACCAAAAGTTCCATACTTGTTTCAATAAAATGATTTTAAAATCTAGTATTGACTAGTAACTTTTTCATACTTTATATTAAAGTGATTAAACTAATAAGATATTAGTTAATAAATAAAAATATTCTTTTCCATATTCTTTCAGCTTCCTTGATCCTTATTTTCTTTGATCCTTCAGTTGCAACAAAAATCCAAATAGAGCTTCTGGATTTCATAAAAGCATTTGAAGGTTAAACACAACACCCGTCAATAATACTAAGTTACTAACTAATGAACTGTCTAGCACATCAAATTCACCTGAGAAACTTTCCTTGATTTAGAAAGCATACAAAGTATATAAACATATAGAAAACATATAAATTCACACTTTGCATTACATCAGTATTTTTTTACATTTTTTTTACAGTTACATTTATTAACCTCAATGATTATTATTTTTTACTCTAAACTACAAGCAAGCAAACCATACTGTGGCTTTCTTCAATTTGTATTTTCAATCACAGTGCAAAAATGGCATTTGTCTTAAGCATTTATATTGTTTAAAATTGTGAATTTAAGCTTTCTTATAGGGGATGCAGTGGCTCAGTGGCTTAAGACGCTGAGCTTGTCAATCGAAAGGTGAGCAGTTCGGTGGTTTGAATCCCTAGTGCTGCATAACGGGCTGAGCTCCCGTTACATGTCCCAGCTTCTGCCAACCTAGCAGTTCAAAAGCACGTAAAAAAGTAGAAAAATAGGGACCACCTTTGATGGGAAGGTAACAGCATTCCGTGCGCCTTTGGCATTTAGTCCTGCCAGCCACATAACCATGGAGATGTCTTTGGACACACACACCCAGAGTCAGGAGCAACTAGGACATATGTGCGAGGGGGACCTTTACCTTTACCTTCATAGACAAAAATAACTTGAAAAGGATTCATATAAACTGGATAATTATATTGGTGTGAAGAACCAGAGGATTGATATTTCTGTGATAGTTGCTGTGTCTGGTGAATATTTCTTGACAAACAAATGAATACTGACTATATCCTTCATATTTGAGATTTCATTCATTAACACATATGTGAGTATATACTTGTATTTACTCACCCATAAAAGGTAGCCCTGTTAAGATGTACTACACTAAATTAAAAAACACATGTTTTTTTATTTTGCTCGAAAGCTCTTCTGATTCTTTATAAACTATAGCTTACCATACAGCAATCCATTAATATAGCTATATATTCAGTGATTACAATTATAGTAAACGCTTTAAAACAAGATGAATGTCCATTTCTTAATAGTGTATCTAAGTACCGTATTTTCACGACCATAAGCCGCACTGGATTAAAAGCCGCAGTATCAATTAACGCTAATTTTTTTAACCTTTT